AAGAGTGGCAGATGTTGTCTGACTGATCTGAAACTGTGAAGGGAACAGACACGGAGCTGTAACTCTACTTCTGAAGAGATGATTTGCAAAACACCTGTTTGCAGAAGCCCCAAGTTAAGTACAGCATCAGCCTAAAGGGACTTGCTACTGTCCGATACTGAAGATCTTCATCACCATAATCAGTTTTGGACTCTCGTTCAGAGCGAAACTCTTTTTTTTTTTTTTTGTGCCACTGCACTGGGTGAGGAGCAGCCTGAAGCGTAGAAGGGAGGAATATGGAAAGCAGATTCAGCCTCCTGCTCAACAATAACTAGGTACATCTCTTCCCAAAATAAGAATAAAAGGTTCAAAGATCCACCATTTGCCTACACTAACTCCTTCGCACAAAGCTACTTCCTAAGAAGCCACTTGGCAAATTAACACAAAAGACAAATACGAAACAAGATTGAGACGACAGAAGCTTTGCAGTCCCTATCTGGTAAGAGTATCCATTAGTCCAGTTTTCAAAGTAAGAAAGTTTTATGCAGTCAAAGTTTACAGGTCAGGATAACCAGTATTTGTTATCTTCTGCCCATTCTTTCCAGCACTTGAACTCTGGTCAGTTTTAAACCAGATCTTTCCACAAAGTGGAGGGGGTATTTTTCCATTTCCATTACAGAAAAGGAGAAGAGTTTATTAATACATAGTAAAAGTTACAGACAAGGGAGTCACTAAACAAAGCCACGAGAAGCCAGAATTATCAGGTTTGTAGCTTACACAATCACCATTTTTGCTCAGAATCATCCCCACCACTTCCAAAAGCTTCAGGTTGTGATTTTCCCCAGCTAGTCTTGATGCTTTAAAACTCAGGCCTATTTTGACAAGGGCACAAGTAAGTTAAGAATTTCTGTTCCTTGTCCCTTTGGAAAGAGAACTTTTAAAGCAGGTCTGCTTCTTCATGCCTTTGAGCCCCACTCAGCGTGGACAAAGAAATTAATCTCTTTATTTTCATTTAACATTTAAAAAGAGAGCTCCATGCATTCATATAATTAACCTTACAAGCAACACATCCAGCAGCATAATAATAATAGGGCAATCAGTTAAACTTAAACCAATCGGCAGCATTTATCACCTTCAATTATTTAATTCAGCCTGTTAACAAAATGGAAACATGTTCCCGAATCATAGCCCAAATACATTTCCTCCATTTTACCATTTTAAGTGTCCTGTCAGGTGATTAGCAATTATCTTCATAACACTTATGGCAGGGGGCCAACTGTTATTTGCACCCCTCTGGAGAGAGGCAGCCAGAGCTGCAGTACAGAGAGTGCACAACAGACCCAGGCTTAGGGTCTAGGGCACAGCTCTGCCGGGGCCCCTCAGTCTCGGACTTGCACCCTCGATACCGGAGCTCCCTTTCTGCCTTGCTCTCTCATCCTCTCCATTCCTGTCTCACCTCCTCCTCTCCCCACAGGCCTTCCCTTCAAAACAGTGGTGATCTCAAAGATTATTATTAGTGCTATCATTGTAATTTTATGCGAGGAAGCTTTCAAAACATTTTTGGCCAGAGAGAATGAAAGGCTTAAGCACAGATCTGCCCAGTTTTTATAAAAGGTTTTGTCTCACCTGGTGACCATGAAGAGTATACAGAAGTCTTCCTTCTAGCAAGTCCAGAATTTTGAGAGTTGAATCATTGGAAGCAGTAACCAGGTAGTTTCCCGAGGGGTGAAAGGAAAGACTGTTTACCACAGCACTATGCACTAAGGATGGAAAAAACATACATAACAATCACCAAGACCAGTTTACATTAGCCCAAGGCAAAAGAATAAAATAAAGTACAAGCACATTTCAATTTGCTGTTATAAAGTTTAACACAAAAACTCTTCAAAGCACTGGAGAACAAGAGCAATACGCAATTCTTGTGAAAATAGGCATTACTTTATTGAAAGGAAAAAGGAAGCTTTGCCGATTATTTTGGGAGATTTAAGGCTACAAAAGCTTCCAGTGCAGCCCCAAAAATGTAATTATACATGCAAGTAAGCTGTAAGATTTTATGAGAGAGCTGGACATGGACGTACTTTACTACCACGGAGCTGCTGTTCTCACTCCCAAGTCACTCTAGAATAAAAATCTATATGCTAGTACCAAAATGAGAACACTGAAATTATAACAAAAGAACAAGCTCAAAGTTGGCATTGCACAGGTTCTTTTGATTTACTGCCTGCCCCTAACCAAGACCCGGTTCAAGAGAACCTAGGAAAGAAGAATCAACAACTTGAAAATGGGCCAGGATAAGCGTTATTTCTTCAGACATCCAATTTGTCTCACCAAAAGTTTAAAACAAGTATGAAGAGGCAAACTATCAAGAGCGTGAACTTCCAATAAAGCAATCCTTCCTACACAAAGATGAAGCTTTAGAGTTATTTCGAGAAGAGCTAAAGGAAATGCTTTAGGAAAAAAGTCAAGCTACACTTAAGTTCCCTGTAACATTAAAAATCTAATGCAGGGCTTTCTTTCCCCTGCTCAAAGTTCTACAAAACAGGCTGTTGAACATATTTATTTATGAGAACATGCAGTACTTTACATATGCACAGCTTTCTGAGCGTATGTGACATTAGAGAATATTAAGACCATGCTTGAAGAGGGTTTTAACCATCCATTTATTCTTAATTATGCCATGTGCCTTCCAAACGTTCTGGTATCTTGAATCTACTACTAATAATACATCCCCCCAACTAAATTCATATCCCCTTGAGAGCCTACTGTGCATTTCAAATCCAAACTGCATGTTATAAACCCCCTAAATACAATTTTAAAGACACCAGAACCAAGGATATTTTTTCATACGTGAATTTGAAACAGAAATCTGAAACAACCTTGCTCAATTGTAAAACAGAATACGTTTACTTTTGAAACTCTCAGGAATACTAGATACTTCAGCTTAAGACCCAAGAACATAACTTGTCTTAACCTGGACTATTTAAAAACACAGAAGAAAACCTTAACACGGGCAACTTCTAAACAGTTAACCTTGTTGGTTAATATTGCCTCTATTTACAAGGCTAGATCTTCCCCTACTCCCCCCAACCCTATATTACACTATGTATTAAAGGAGAAAAAGTCTATGTGGAGTTTTTCCTCCTGGAAGAGTGCTAAATACATTTCTCCTTTAAAAATTTTACTCTCACCCCATTAGCATCTATATTCAGATACAGACAAACATATTTTGTCAACTAAAGCAAGTCCTGAAAGGAATCACACCAGAAACAGACTAAGTTAATGATATATCCTCCCAGTTCCAGATAATAAATAATTTCCAGCTTCACCAAAAACCTTTCTGAAAATGGAAAGAAATTACCCAGACTACAGCCGTGTAAGCAGTCACAGCTTCTGTGCTCAAGTTGTTCTTGGCTATTGCAAGCTCAGAAAAAAAATTTGTCTCTTTTCTGCCTAACCAGCTCATACCTCCCACGAGACAACTCAAAACACCTCTCCAAAAACTTGTCAACACGTCCTGCAACCATACTTGATTTCATGTTGTAAACAATAAATCTGGTGCAGCAGGAGGTGGCATCTCCCAGTGACCTGTTGCTACAAGCCTATCCTTCCGTCAGCCAAGCCCTAGAAAAACAGTTATACCGGGGGGTTTACGACCAAACTGGAGTCACACCAGCCTGTAGAGCGATGGAACACAACTGTCCCAAGTCTGATAATACTACTTTTAGGCCATCAGTGACTGCAACCAATGAGAAGATAAATTGGAATGGACTTGACAGCCAGTCCCTGGCAAACAGATAACCACCATCCAGCCCCACCTGAACTGTTTAGAAGCACCAACTGTTCTTTTTTAAACAGCAAGAAAAAAAGCTTAGAACTGTTTCCACAGACCTGCAGAAGTGCCCCACGCACAACTTTGCACAGGGCAAAACGTGAGGCAATAACCCTGGGCAGCTTTTGTAGGAGACTGATCAGCTGTACAAAATACTAACAGCAGGTAGACGACAGAACAAAGCAGTACAGTAACCGTGACCTGAGCACGTTTTGCTAACAAAAACCAGCACACCACACATCAGGTTTTGTGGTTCGCTCTCTACTTCTGGCTTTCATTTACAAAAGTCACAGGTGGAGCAAGTCCTGGCAATACAGCTAAAAGGCTAATCGGTTTTGAAAAACAACCCGGCTTCAACACAGAGTCTGCAGCTGGGCGATTTATCTATGAACTCCTCAACGCAACTCCATCTTTAAAATGGATTCCCTTGAAATCAGGCGGCACAAAGTACCAAAGGAAGAGATGCCCTCTAGTGGGACTGCGAGAGAGGAGACACTAAACTCAATCCAAACCGCATGTGTACAAACCCGGGGATTTTACAACCCATCACCAGCACATGTGGCAAACCCATCAGCGTGCAGACACAGGTGAATGAAGTGACTCCACACAGTCACCGCTGCAATTTCAGGTTTCTTTGACTTTTTTGACTAGTTCTAGTTCAACATCTAATACATAATTAGGATTTACAGAGTAGCCGTTAAAAATAACACTCATAACAGGAAAAAATTGCTTCAATAGCAAGAGTGTTAGATTGAAATGCCATTCAGTATGGGTGGGATACAGGGAAATACATAATCCCAATCCACAAAAAATAAACCTGGCAGCCAAACCTAAATCACATTAGATTCAGACAATTTAATAGCAGTAAGGGGAAAGCAGAAAGAGATGATTTTTGAGCCAAGTTAGTTATATTGTGGCTGAAAACACACTGTAGATCTTGCCACTGTTGAAAAACAATAAGGTAGGTTACAGGACAATTTGACACTGTTCAAGCATTTAAACACACAATTCTAACAACAAGACTTCAGAAAGGTGTTCCCAAGTTTTGGTATGGGTCACAAGTTAACAATACTTATTACATGAAGAAATTCCATTTCATTATTCATTGTTGAAATTGTATGAGCTCAATACCAATGAACTGGACCAACAGTCATCAAAAGGTTTGATTTTCATCAAATTTTGTTAACTGTCAGAGAACTAGGAGTGATTGTGAGTCCATGAAGAAACTAAAAAAAAATAAGAAAATCCATTATATGATAGTTTCAAGGAGCTCTGGCAGGTTTACAGTTGAAAAAGAGTTCCAAGAATGCTTGACTTGACTACTCAGGCACAATATAGCTGAGAGGACCACCCCAGACACCAAGAATAAAACACAGTGCAGGAGCAGGAAGCTGTTGCCAGAAATAAAGAATATGATTTTATTTTCTACCCAAGAAAAACCCTGTTCCAATGGAAGTTGTGTCACCTTCGGTGCTTCATAGCCTGATCAGATGATTATAATAGTGTTTCCATCCAAACACAACGAGCAATAGAACAGCTCTGTATACAGCAGAATTACAAAAGCATTCTCAAGTTTGCCGATTGTTTCCACTCCACAGCAACCTCTTTTGGAGAGCTTTTACTTTTTTACGGAACCCAAAGGACTTTCATAATCTTAATAGCTCCTCACAGCCAATCTGGATTTGCTCTGAGATGAGTAACTCCCATCGCTCTTTCCTACCAGAAGAGGTCTAGTCTCTTTCAGAGCTTGCTGTGAAGGACGGCAAACCAAAGAACTCTGCTCCTTAAATATCTCCACACTTTCTCTGCTTTTCTATAGCAAGGAAAAGCAGAGAATTTGTATTGAAAGTCTGCAAATTCTTTCACTGCCTTGAGAGAGAAAGGATACACAGTCAAAAGCACTTCAAAAAACCAATTCTAGTTACGTAAAGTCAAGAGGACCAACAGCTTTAATTTACAACTCAATTTTTGTCTCTTCACTTGCAAACTTAGTAGGAATCAACCACAAGCTATTTTACTACTCCAGATTTCTGCCCTGCGTGCAGCTGTGAGGCTGGCACAGCAGGAACTGGCAGTATCTGATGCAAATGACAGAAAGAACAACACACCCAGCTCCAGCCCTGTACCTCTGATCTGCTTTACTAGCGTGCCAGAGCAGTCTTTGTGAGAATCCAACAAAATTAAGTTTAATTAGCTACCTGTATGAGACACAGGAGGCTGGCACAGCAGGAACTGGCAGTATCTGATGCAAATGACAGAAAGAACAACACACCCAGCTCCAGCCCTGTACCTCTGATCTGCTTTACTAGCGTGCCAGAGCAGTCTTTGTGAGAATCCAACAAAATTAATTAGCTACCTGTACGAGACACAGTGCTTGAGAAAATGTGTCTTTACAAAATATGAGAGCAGCCCTAAAACTTGCTAATAGTAAAAGAATGAAAAGGCACATTTAGGCTCAAGAAACTAATATGCACCAATCAGGATACTCAAGTCTGCAGGGGTGGGAAAGCAGCCTTCTCCTACCCAGTTCTACTAAATGGCAGCACTAATCAGTTTGACAGTAACAGGTAACTGGAAGACATGCCATTTGGAAGGTAAGGGGTGGGTGGGTAAGTGATTTAGACTCCTAAATATAAATCATAGCTATTCTAAGGACAAGCCAACCTGGAAAAGTCACAATAAGGTCAAAGCTAATTCTGGAAGCAGAAAACCAAACATACACTGGTGAAGGAACTGTAAACATGGATCATGGTACTGAACTAAAACTACCTGATTTTGATTTTCCTCTGTTATTAGCCTTCCCTAGTTTTCTTATTCAGAAAACTAATATTTTGCTTTGCTGGAATGCATCTGACTCCTCCTATAGGCGTACTAAGGCCACACACTTTTTACTCCATCTCCTGGAGAACAGTGAGCAGAAGCCAGGCAGCACTGCTGGTCACAGCCACACACACCTGCAACACAGGACATTTCAGCACTGAGGCATTTGTGGTGGTGGGCAGGAGAAATCAGAACAAAGGTGTTTCTCACTAATATGAGAACCACTCTTGAAGCTAACACAAAGCAAAGCATGAAGTTTGGTGAAAAAAATAAAGGCTTCTACTGGCAGGCCTAACCCAGTGCCGTTCTGGAAAAAAGCTGGCAATGGAGAAACAGTCCTTGGACTTGAGAGCAATTCGTATCAATACGGGGAAAGATCCAACTTATCCAAGATCTTAACTTGCCTTGATAATGCTGAAGAAGTCTATTCATCCTAACATCCCACACCTTCACTGTGTTATCTGCGCCAGCTGCAGCAATGCAGGTACCACTGGGATGAAAATCCACATGGTTCACAAACCTGTAAAAGGCAATTAAATCCAATTGTTTACATTCATCTCTTGCTAAAGATCAAAAAGCTCTTTTCAAGAAGGAAAGCTACATCATGATGCATTTTGAACATTATGAAGAGAACAACGATAACCTGAAAATTTTTATTTGTAAGTTTCTCTTAAGACCTTGCTTGTAACCCCAAGCAGATTGCAGGATTATAGAAAAGCCATCTTCAGTATTTTGTGTTACAGGTGTAGGAATCACAGATACAGGCTGCCTGAAACCTGATGGATCTGCCTGTCACAACAACATTTAAAAGTGTTCACTTAACATTTGCATAATATGTCTCCTCTTAAATAAACAGGATTTCTAGAGTGGTGTGTGCAAGACCGAATAGTATTTTTCTTCTATCATGCTTCAACCTTTACGCTTTCTTCTATCATGCTTTAATTTTAAGCTGAACTTACTTAATCTGTGCCTGAAATCGTATGTTGCCACTTGGAAGGTAGCAAGGCTGAGACCAAACTGCTTTCTGGACCCATACGCAATCAATTTAATTTGAAAACATAAATACAGTAAAACCTTCAGAACCTTCAGCAAGCAGCATCTTGTAATTCCTCACCCAATCTACTCAAGAAATTCGGTAAAATTAATTATCCTTTAAGTATTCTTGTAACAAACACTGAGGAAGTTGAGATGTTCCAACAGGTTGTTTAGACAATCTATATTCTCAACAGCACTGGAAAAAATAATGCTGTCTGAATTTGTCTTAATACCATTGTGTATTACCTGGAAAGAAAACAATTTTGTATTTAAAAATCCAGTGCAGCAAGAAATTAGGAAGATTCCAGTTTCAGTTATCTAAGGACTTGTTAAAAAGGTCAAAGCAATTTTGGAACCTCTTTTTGCACCTTGTCCTCTGCTGGCTGCTTTTTCAGTAGGTACTAATGATTTTTTACAGGGTAGAAACAATTACCAGGACAAAGACCTCTGACTGCAGTCACAAAGTCAGGTGTACATTCCCCAGGCCTCCCCATGGCAGAAATCACAAGAAGGTCAGCCCTCGTACACCACCAGGTACTTACCCACCATTCTCACAGAACGAGTGTATACATTCTCTGCTGGTTTTATCCCACAGTTTGACTGTTTTATCATCACTGGCTGACACTATCAATCGTCCATCAGGAGAAAATCTAAGATAGAAGTTGTAGCAATTAAGAACTGGTCCCATATATAGAAGGACAACTGGATTTGGCCAGCTGTCAAGGTACGTTGGCAAACACACCTCACTCTTCAAGAAGTCACACTGGCATCAGTGAGACTAAAAATCCAATCACTCTGTGTCACGGGGGGAAGTAAGCCATAAGTCTTCAAACTATCCCTAATTCCAGAAGCACAGAAAATAAGTCTCAGGAAATTCTTATGTTTGACTTACGGTGTCCTGCCCTACTTGTTTCAATTTCAGTGTCTCTCAAGTTGTTTTTCTACCCTTATTCAAACCAATTCCTACCTTTGCCACAAGTACTCAGACCAATACAATTACTCGCAGGATAACAGCTGCAGCCGGAGAAGTTTCATCATTCAAGTGCCTTAGAAGAATCTATTAAGCTCCTATCTCAAAATTTTATATACAAGAGAGATCAGTATCTCCCTTCAGAGGCATGTATTCTACAGGATCAAGACCTGAGTCCCTAACTAGAGAACACCATCGTAAATACTGGAAAAATATTCTTTCCACTCTGCTGTGGGCATCTACAGTGCTACTAGCCTCTGCCATCACCACAGTCAAGAACTGTAATGAACTGTTCACCTACAGACAAACTGTGGCTTAATCCTAGATGCATATATATACATAAAAATTCCTCAGAAAATTGCAAAGGACAACTGAAAGTCAAAACCGAGCCAGTTACATGGTAGCAGTTTCGGCATTTTGGAAGGAGCACAGGATGACACGGTTCAGCGATGGACCTGGCACCACTACGTTAACAGTTAGACTCAATGATCTTAAAAGGTCTTTTCCAACCTAAACAATTCTAGGATTCTATGATTGTTTTTAACTACAGCCTGATAAGTCTAAAAGTAACTAAGCTTAAATAGCAATATATGACTTTCATTTCACTTCTGTTAGCAACTCCAAGATGCAGAAGCCCCCATACCAGGTAAAAACAAAACACAGAACAGATCACTAAGCAGGAAAATCTCTGCTTGACAAAAACCACTGAAGAAACACCGAGTGGGCACACAACTATTATCCAAAGGGTTCTCTCTGCAAGTTAGCAATGTATTTCAGTCATGAGACATGCTTGACTAGAAATGTGGTACACAAGAGCAGGACACTCAGCCTCTGCTTCAAGGGATAAATCCCCACCACTATTTGTCAGAAAGTTGTACTTACCTGGCACAGCGAACCCAGTTTATGTGTTGGCTAAGTGAGAATAGAAACTTCTGCCTGTGAACGGTCCACACTTTGACTGTTTTGTCATCAGAAGCTGTAACTAAGGACTGGCCATCGCTGGAGAAATGAACGCTCCTTACGGTTGCCGTGTGAGCCTTGAACACAATTGATTCTCCTTTGCTATAGAGAAGAAAAAAGCACTTTAACACTGCACAACAGGGCAGCAAAGACATCATCTACCTGGAAACACAAAGCTTCTGTATGCCGAGCACCACGACTGACCACCCCTTCTGCAAGCACTGCCGCACGCTTACGCTAGGAAGAAAGTGCTGATCAACCCCAACATCGTGCTTCCTGAGCAATACAGAACACATGGCTAAAACCAGTTGTCCCAGTTCAATATCAGAGCCGAACCTATAGGAA